TTCACCGAGGGCGCGAGTGGGTGAGGATGGGATGTGGGAGAATGTCGATGGCGGCTTGATTCCTGAACGTTTGGTGCTACCCTTAGAATGCGTTAGATTAGACATGAACGGGCCAGGGGATGGCTCTAGGGATACCCACAGCGTTCTCGTTGGTGGACTCCATGGTGTGATGCGTGGCAAAAGTCTAACGAAAGAAGGATATCAACAAAGCATGCTCCGTCGCGGTCAACAGCACTGGCGCGTCCAGAGGCGGCTGCGGTGATGCTGCGGGAGTTGTGATATCCAGTGTTTGGGTTGCGCTCGGACGGTAAACATAGAAGGCGCGACCCACCCTCCCCGTAACCACACGCTAGACCATACTCGGCTTTAGCACCGGTACTCTCTGTCAACCTGTACAACCAGCGAGCCTGCATGACGTTCGGCAGGGCAACCAGCCTCATTCATCCATTCATCCGTTCGCTCATTCATTGGGTATCCCCACCGTATACTATGTACGCTATCAAATATCTCGCCCAACGCCAACGCGCCGTGCCAATGCCAATGTCCATGATATGCCTACCATCTATGTATTTGCGTGCGGAAGAACAATCCGTCTAAGTAAACACACTTGCATGACCACAGAAACCCAGAGTCGTCTACGCTGCCGCTTCGGAGTATGCTATACCTGCTTCACAAACGCTTTCACAACGTTAGTTCTCCGGATTCTAGAGAGACATGTAACAAGTAAGACTTACTGGCATCAATCTGCACAACTTGTGGTAGCGCAAGTCGGACCTTGTTCCTGTACAAGGCTGGCTGCGCCCGTTGCAGAGGGTTTCCTTCGAAATAAACCGTTTCCAGTTCCTCCTTATCTCTCAGCTCCCGCTCGATCTCACCAAAGTCGCTCAGTTTGCAGTTGCTCGCCCAAAACTCGGTAAGGTGCTTGAGGCCCTTGAGTCCTCCGAGATGTTCGATGGGATTCGCGCTGATGTCAATGACACTGAGATTGACGTTGTTCTCTAGCCCCGATAATTCTGTAAGAAGATTGTGCGAGATATGCAATTCTTCCAAGTTGACGAGCTTCTCCAACCCCGTAATGGACCGCAGCCGGTTCGACTGTATGCTCAAAATCTTGAGGTTCGTAAGCGTATCCAAGCCCTTGATCTCGGTGATCTTGTTCTTTCCCAACCACAACTCTTCCAGCCCAGTCAGTGTCTCCAGACCCTGAATCTCCCGTACTCTGTTTGCGCCCAGCTCAATCTGTCGCAGATTGGTGAGGCCTTCCAAGTTCTCTATGGTGCTAATCTTGTTCTGCACAAAATATAGATCCTTGAGCTTTGTCATGTGGTTTAGTCGCTTGATGTGCTTGATCTTATTGAAGGACAGGTCGAGCGACGTGAGTTCAGTAAAGGCATCGAGGCCCTTGATGTGCGCAATAAGATTGTCATAGAGGTCGACTTCTGTAAGGCTCGTTGCGAGTTCTTCTGGTATCGCAATACTTTCTATTCGGTTTTGGCGAAGGCAGAGACGCTGCGATGTTAGACCGTCTTGTTTGTATCCCTATCCCAAGAGCGACATACCTTCATCTGCGTGAACCTCTCTAGTCGCAATGACGACATATCCGAAATCTTGCAGTGCACTAGCTCGATCTCTTCTTCATCGTCCGGCACATCGTCCAACAGGTCTTCATCTGCAGCCAGCTGTTCTGGCGGGGGTCCTTCATCATCTGATACCTCTGGATCACTCAATATTTGCGCGTGTGGATCTCTTGGCTCGTCGGTGAGCGTCATCTTGTCTACTCGTAGCTTCCCATCCCAGCCGTTGCTATCTCGTGGTTTCTGCTCATCCGCGTCCTGATCACGCGTCTCCTTCGCGTCGGTCGTGGTTGCGGGGTCGCTTTCGGCATGCGGGGCAGAGTTTGGCTCAGCCATCATACACTGGACGTGGAGAGGAAGGTAGGGCGACGGTAGTTGTATGGTGCGAGTCGAGTGTTAGCAAAAAAAGGCTGAGATTTTGGGCAACAAAGGTATGTTCTAGAAGGCGGTGTTCCTAGTGTGGAGTTGAGTAAGTATGCAAGCAATGTACTCACCTTGTGGGTGGCTAGGCTACTAGCAAGCTCTGCCTAAGCAAGGGTCCAGCACGATGACGAATGCCATCGTTTCACCGGACAGTTAGCACTCAGATTTGTCTGACTACGTACCGGCTGTGAATCTCAAAGCAAGCATCGCCCCACCTCTTGTCTGATACCTATCCCAATCGCCGTCACGACCTCAAAATTTAAGACAGTCCTTGGCGTTCTGGTGAAGCTTCAACAGCGTAAGCATCGCCGAAGAATATAATACTTAAATACTAACATATTGATGATATTAGAACTAAATGATGTGCAAGTATAACGCTACCAAGCTCGATCTAATCCACATATCACCATACATCGGATATTCAAAATAAATTACCCGTTCACCAGATTGCGACTGGTCTCTTCATCTCCTTCGGCTACCCCACACCTTCAGAAACTCAATCTTCTTTTCAACACTTAGACCCACCCTCTTTACTCTACCCAAGCGCGCAAGATCCTCGGCAACCCGCTCGAGCACCTTTTGTTCTTCAGGACTGACTTCATGGCCGTCATCGGCACCGCCAGCATCAACATCCATACCGTCTCCAGCCCCGCCGTTTGTTCCAATGAATCCATCTTTGAAATCGGGTTGTTCGAAAATGTTTGCGTCATAGCCACTAGTCGTTGCCTTGTTCTTGTCCAAATGTGATGTCGCTTTTGCCGGAGAATCTTGATTTGAGCTATTGTACACACGCGAAGCAATACGGACACGCATTTGGTGCGATGGCTTGCTGAGAAGACGCCAGAACCAAGAGAAATAACCACCAGGGACAGGGGTGGTCACATCCTGCGGTGTGTACCTGAGGTTGACAGGATAGATTTTGGTCTTACCATCGGCGCTTAGCAGACTAGGGCACAACGGTAGAATGCCCCTTCCGTTTGTTGTAGTAGTTTCTGGGAAGACGCATATGATCCTGTCGGGGTTTTCGCTAATGAGTTGTTTGAGCGTGACGAGCTTGGACGGATCTTGTGGAGTCAAGGAAGGCGGCGAGAAGGCGAGCAAGATGGCGCGGAAAAGAGTTATGCGCTCGACCTTGCAAAGGTGCGGATAGGACTTTGTGAAGATTGGCTGGAAGATGCCCGCAAGGTAGAGCGGGTCGAGAGGCGAAGTAAAGGATGAAGCGACAATGGTGCCAGCCTTAGGCAGATGGTTTTTGGCCGAGTTTAGTTGTCTGCAACGTTTTTTTTAGCTCGTATGCCCTCAAAACTATGAGACCTTCTGGTAAACTTCAATTCTTTGCACGCAAGTGAACGTACCCTCTCTTGACCCCATCAACCTGCAAGTCCACCCACCACACTCCCGGAATTCCTAGCATCAACCACAGTACCACATATCTCAGCCTTCTGCCCACCGGTATGAACTCAAGGCCAAAGAAGTACAAAAGCGAGAAGGCAATGACGAAAGGTGTGCGGACACAGAAGAGGAAGAGGTATATCGGACGCCAGAGGATGCCGACCGGCGGGGGTGGTACGGGGAGGAAAGGCGCAATTGCAGTGCCTGTGCTGAACTGTAAGCAAGTACATTCGGAATCAAAGTCTGCGATCAGAGCGGGAGGCGCTACTTGAAGGGGAATTAGGTAGTGGTAGTGGTAGTGGTGACGGTCGACTGCATGGATTCTGTAGACGCACCTTTATCGCGAAATTGGCTGTATTTTTCCATGGCGAGGGGAACGTAACAAGACACAGACAGGAAGGTGAGTGTGGGCGTTGTATCACCAAGCCATGCACCGCAAGACTGTGAGTGGTATATTGGAGAAGAGAGGAGAGACAGGGCACAGGGACGAGGAGGCCAAGCGACGTCGCAGCCACGGTGGAGCAGAGCAGCAAACAAACGAGCCCAAACCTACTCTGTCGTGTTTGGTGACGGACTAAATACCCGAAAAGCCTCCCGCTCCGTTCCTCCTGAGTGTGGCGACAAAGCTGCTGCTGCGATGTTGTCGTGGGGCTAGGTGTAGGTACATTCGACTAGTAGCTGTAGCATCGTGTGTCACTTTTGGCGGGACGCGTGATGAGTGGCTGTGCACACGCTCCAACGGCGGCGGGCAGCATGTGAATGCCAAGCCTAGGGTTCCATCCAGCATCCAACGTCATCATTGCATGTGCAAGCCCCAGCGATCAGGTATGCCCTGGCTCTCACATGGTTCACGATATGCATGGCGCAACGCCGCAGCAGCCAATCTGTGGGTTGACAAATAGAAGGGGTATTGTTGACTATCTGAACTTCTACGGCCCCTACTGGCATCTGGATGCGTCTGCAGGCACCTTGCGCTTCAGCCTCGCCATACAAAAACAGGAGGAAAAACAAAACTGAGAGTTACGAGGGGCATCAAAGCACGCTCCAGTCGTGGGGATGAATAGACCTTGCCTGTTCCCGCCAGCAATGCAGAACCAAGAAAAGAATAACACAAAGCGTACAAAGGAAATGGTACTGATAGTAGATACTACAAGACCTCAGAGAGGCCAGGCGTCGCATATGCTGAAAAAAAGGGGGGTATGTGCCAATATTACTGTGGATTTTCGTGGCTCTTCAAGCCAAAGGGACGCCGTTGTGCGCCGGTCCTCCTGTTTTTTGTGCGCAAAAGTCGAGGTAGTGCGCGCCAGCCTAGTGTCAATGGTTGGAAATGGTGTGGTTGAGGGGCATCGCCCCAGAACATGCGCGTGCGGTGGTGGGAAAAATGGGGCGTGCAATGTGACACTCTAGCACGGTCTTACACGGCGGCTTGTACAGCCGTCACGCACTGAGCCGCTTTTTATGCACATTAAAAGCTGATTACAAGGTACAGAGTGGAATAGGTAGGGGTGTTGCATCCTACGGTTTGCGCCCGAAGTAAAGTGATTATGTCGGCGCGATGAGAAGGGTATGCGCAAAGGGTATCCTCTTTCGTAATGATCGTCTCGAGCATGCTTACAAAGCCACGTCAAGCACCAGACTGACGTCGCTGACCTGCTGGCCAGCGAGATCCTCAAGCACCGGTATCAGGTCGAGGAGTTCGTTGTCATGTGCGTCAGAGAACCAGCTGCTGATGGGGACGGCGTGTTGCGGATGGAAGATGTAGGAAGTGGGCGAGTTGTCAATAATAATGGTATCCTTGAGGTCGCGGCCAATCTGTGAGAGATCCTGCGCAGGGGCATTAGCGTCTGATTGGAACCTGACTTTATGCTCATATTCTCACCTTTACGTAGTTGCCTTGGTGGTTGTAGCAGCTTTCGCGGAAAAGTCGGTGGTGAACAACGCCGTGAATGTCGAGCTGGTCGAGGAGGGGATCACCATACTACTCTCGTTAGCGGAATTGCCGGAACAAAACAATGCAGCCACGTACTTTGGAAACAGATGCTGTAAAAACTACTACTTCGTACAGTTCGCCCACACGCTTCATGAACTGGTCAACGCCCGGTCGCTTGATGACATAAACATTGTGGTATTGGCCTTCAATTTCCACAGGAATCGTGAAGTCTGCTTGGTGTAGAATCTACATTGAATCAGTAAATAGGAGCAAATACCATGATCTTAATGACATACCTTGAAGCTGCTGTGGACCAAAGTCTCGTCGAGATCAAGAACCAAACACTTTTTACCCTGGAACCTGGGTGCAATGGGTCCCAAAAGGTACTTTTGCTCCTCTGGCGCCTCGCCCGCATCCGCAACCTGCTCCTGCACAGCGACCTGTCTCTCAGCTAGTGGCGGCGGAGGAGGCAAATCGACCTTGGGCTGTTCGGGTTCAGCGTCAGCGTCGGCTGCGTCGGCCTGGTGCGGAACTTCGTGGGACGAAAGCGGCACATCTCGCATTTCAATGTCGCTGTCAATCTGCTTCTGCTCTTCGGTCTGGTCCTCTATTATGCGTTGCTGTTCTGCGGATGGGCGGGGCAAGACTGGCGTGGCGGCCGGCGTGGGGTTGGTGATGCTTATCTGAGGATGACCAGTTTGTAATGTGCCGGGTTGAGGGGGCGAGGTTGCTTCTGTTTGCTGTCTCTGGGATGAGCTTCTCGTCACCAGCTGAGGACTATCCTCGACTGGCGGCTGCTCGGTGGTTCCATCGCCATGACTAGGCTTGTCGCCAAGACTCGAACCCAATGTCTCAGTTCCAGTCTTTTCGTCGAGGGGCTCCTTGGAGTCGGTTTTACTTGACTCGGCGATGGTCGGCTCCTGCTTCTTGACGGGCGTCGACTGCGATGTGCGCCCTGCAGGCACCTTCTGGGCCTGCTTGACATTCTCCGTAGGGGCCGAGTCGCCGGCGAGGCGGGACTCCTTGGGTGCAAAGCAAGGCAGGCACGACAGCAAGCCGCCCTTGCGCGTCTTACTCCTCGTCGATGCAGGGCGGTCGGCCGTAGCGGGCAGCGGGGGCGGCTGCTCGGTCTTCTCTGATGGGGCAGCACGCGGCTGAGAGCGTTTGCTGCTCGCCGTGCTGCCAGCCCGTCGTTTGCCCATGAGGCTTCGCTTGGAGCCGCGTCCTATGCTCTCAGCGTCTGCTGCGGTGGTTGCGCCGCTGAGGCCGGTGTTGGGCGTGTGGTTGTCGGTGGACTGGGGACCAGACTGGGGCACGTTGAGCATGGAATTCGGGGCGATGGCAGCTAGGTCAAGGTTAGTTATCGCGTCGGAGGGAGATTGACCGGTGTGAGCCCTGGGCCGGGTCAAGAACGTACCGTTGGCGGCAGATGCGTCAGCAGAGGGCTGCGCGGGTTCGGCGCTCATAGTTTTCAGCGCGTCGACAGCCTCAGGCAGAGAGAGGGCGCGCGGGGGACCAAAGGGGGGTGTAGAGATGGAGAGAGGGAGAAAGACGGATGGGGAGGAGAGGAGGGCGAGAGCGAGAGCGGAGCGAGAGGTGTCTGGAGCGTTGTGTCGTGTGTGTGTGGGGGGGGAGAGACAGACGTATGTAGCTGAGGGCGGGCTGGGGTGCGCTCTCTCGCTGCAGTCGCTGTCGCTGTGGTCGCTGTCGTGGGCCGCTGCTTCCTCGTGGCAGCAACAGGGGCGGGTCGCGACTGCTCGATCGGCTCGTTAGGGCTCGAGATGGAAGGCGCAGTCACGGTGGTCGCGCAGCTGGGGAAGTCGCTATCTCGTCGAGGGCGTTCGAGGAGGGAAAGGGCGATGGGGAGCTTGGATCCGCTACTTGGGATGAGGCTGGTTCGCTAACACTAACGCGGGCGGAAATGAGGACGCCGTCTTTCACCGTCATCAGCGCCAAAGCTCCACAGCAACCGCCAATTCACTCCCACGACCTCGCTCGCCTGTCAACCTGCTGCCCTCTGGTGCCACCCCTCGGCTAGCTGCAGTTTGTCGCCCTGTTTGCTTTTCCCATTGCTCTCATGGCTGCACCGCCCAGCTCATGCTCCAACTCCCGAGCAGCCAACCACGCCCAGGGCCGCTCGTCCTGGCGGGCCCACTGCTCGCGGCCTTTGCCTCCTCCATTCGCCCCTAGCCTGCAATTGCTCTAGTCGAGTCCATGGCCAGACCCAAATTCAATTCTTCTCCACGCTGTCCACCTCAGAGAGCGAGGCCGTTCATCAACCATGCACCCAATCACGCTCTCCGCCGCTTCATGCACCCAGCGCTTCGCACGGGAAATGACTGCCAAGGGCCATTATGCCTACATGCTGCGATGAGCCAGGGGCGTGGCAGTGGCTGGGCAATGGACATGGGTCAGTACATTAGCCAGAGTGGTGGTGACAGTTCAGCACGCAGCTTCGTCGCTGTCATCGTCCTCGCTGTCCTCGACTTGTCCTCCAACTCCCTTAAATTCAGGCCCGCGACAACCATGCTTTGCGCCCTGCATAATTACGACCTGGCCACCCTTGGATGGGACCGACTCTTGGGCCACGCGACCGTTCGTGCAGCCACAAGCTCGCAGCTCGATTCACGGCTAGCCGCCATGCACGGAGAACCATCGGCTCCTTGGCCTATCACAGCCAATGGCCTCCATGACCCCGGTGCACTTCTGCCGCTCGTGTACTGGATCCATATTGAATGCACTGACACTATTCCTCCAGCGGCGCATGAGCATCGTCAACGGACCCTCAACACTTGTCCACTTGCCCGGCCGCTGCTTGCGACCAAGACCCCACAATGTCACTGTCCGCTTGCCTCCTCGTCCTTCACTGCCATTTCGACTGTTCCTCTCACTGCTGTCACATGTCAAAATTCTGACGCGTTCCACTGTGGCGAGTGTGGTGCAGAGCGGGCCGTCGCACGTCGAAGTCATCCCGCGTCGATCTTGCAGCTTGATGCGGCCCCATCCATGTCCGCATCGTCACAAGGCCAACGTCCTGTCTCTGAGGGTGTGCAGTATCCGGCTTCCCCACCACCCACTCTGCGCAACGGCTTGCAGAGCAAGTCCACGATCAACAGTCAGCCGTTATTGCTATATATGTACCAGTACGCACCGATGCACATCTGATCATAGTCACTCATTACACTGCAGCCCGGCATGAAATGTGCTCTTGAAAATACACGTTGAATAATTTTACAAGCTAATGAAGCGTCCCTATTTGTACATGTGTACATACACATACAGTGGCCTTGGCGGTATCTGATTGTCACAACCGCTCAAGAGTTAAAACCAGAGACTCCTCGGAGCCCGTAGTCGCCTTTGACCGCCTCTTGAGCTTTCGTGCTCCCCGTACCCATCTGCAAAGCAATCACCAGATGCACATGAATTGCTTCAATTGGCAGTAATTCTTGCTCGACCCAACTGTTCAATCACATTACTATCCCTGAAGGTGAGCACGTCCGCAAGAAACGATCGGAATATATACGCACTCCCCCGCATATTCAAGCCTTCTCCCGCGGAGTAAACCGTAATTGAAGGGGCGGCAGTGTTACAGTAAACGTATCCAATATCTCATTTTCGAAAGCTTCTCCTGTCTCACCCGGTGCAAACGACACGTCGAAATTCTGCGCAATCATGGAAAGCGAGATGCGCAAGCTCATGTAGGCCAGGGTCTTTCCGGGACAGCTGTACGCACCTTTGGGTATGTTAGCTGACTGACATCTACAACTGTCATCATTGCATTGAGGCACTTACCTAGAGAGAAAGGCATATACGGTGCCTTGTCAGTTGCCATCTCCGCCCTCTTTTCGCCGAACCGCTCGGGAATAAATTCTTCGGCCTGCTGCCACCATCTGGCATCCTTTTGAATAAGCGATATTGGTATGAACACGTTTGTCTTGCCAGGAATATATGTGTTGTCTATCGTAATGCCCTTTACCGGTGTTTCTCGCGCTCCGCCAGTCAATAGTGCAGGACGAAGTCGCAGTGTCTCACTGACAACGTCGTCGATATAGGAAACCGATTTTACTTTTTCATATGACCACTCGTCGTATCCGCTTGGCATTGTCTGGTCAAGGAGTTGTTGAAGTTTTTTCTGCTTCTCGGGATACTTGGCGAGGAAGAAGAGAGCTCCTGCAAGAGTGGTGGCAGTCGTCTCACTACTATTGTGTCAGCTGCTGCTGCCTTCTGTTTTTGACTTGGAATTTCCTACCTCCCTGCAATGATCATCACTCTTGAATCATCCTCGAGTGCGGCTGCGGTTTTGGGCGCCGTAGCGTCCTTTTCCTTGATGGCTTTCAGCAACCAAGATACCACATCTTGCGGATACTTTTCGCTATCCCAACTCTACAACTTGTCAATTCACTAGCTCCGTGCAGTACAGCGATGAGAAACGTACCTGATGTTTTTCCCGGATTTGGCCTGCACAAAAGGAGAAGAAATCAAGATAACCTGCCGCCGCTCCGGGTATTGAACTCAAGATATACAGCAACCACGGTACGGGGCTCATTATCCCTAGCATGGTCATGTGTTTATGTACGCCTTCGATGGCAACATGTTCGACACCATTTTTGAGGTTGTCGAAGTCTTTTCCAAAGCCAACATCGCCCATAACATCGAAACTGAAGTACATTGACCAGGCTGAGGCATCCATGGATGCCTCTCCTTTGTTGGCTAGCTGGCTCTTGAATAAGTCTGCTTTGGCTTTGATACGTGGCTCGTATATGTTCAGTGCTATTCAACGTCAGCACACACCACTATACCTCGTAGACCCGTACAAACCTTTGATAGAGAAGCCACGGTCCCAAGCACGACGGCGAAGACGATGGGCATTGTGGTCGCGTGTCATGTGGATCGAGGCTTTTCGGTGATCACCCCCAGTTTGGTCATACCATGTTGACTTCTGGCACTCCGAACCGGGTCCATACAGGATCGGAACTGCTGAGCTGCGTAGAATGCTAATTTCTCGCGGCCCTAGAGCTCGTATCAGCAATCGCCCATTCCTGAATTTCTGAGTACACAACTACTCACCAGTGCGCACAAAGTCGCCATACTGCTCGTGCATCTTCTCCAGATCCTTGTAGTACTGGACGTTCTTTGCCGCGATCCATGCTGCGTGAAACTTTGACACTTTAGCAGCAACTGGCCCAGGGAATTTTCGGCACCGGTGGAACACTAATCGATAGATCGCGATGGTGGTTAGTAATGCAGTGTTGAAGCTTGCGGTGAACAGCAGAGCCTTCAATATTCCGAACACATATATCATGCCGAAAAAGATGGCCACAGAGGCTGCCATGAAGTGGACCATGATAACCTCGAATTCGATGGGAAGAATAGAAAGATGGAAAAAGACACCCAGTAGGGCCGCTGCCAAAGCACCCTGAAACGCATCTATTTGGGCAGCATTGTGTGCAGCATCCTGAATGACTTCCATTGCAGCTACCAGAGCCCTCAAAGGTTGGTTACGCTAACAAGAATGGGGAACGACGTAACTTTTGGACATGCTCTGAGGATTGATGATTTGGGGCTGCGTTCCTTGATAACTAAAACGAAAGAGCAGCACCATGCGACCTTAGTACGAGCAGCAGTGCACCCGCATGTAAGACCTACCAATATCTGCCAATGTTCCATATATGCAAGCGCCAAAGGTGGGTCCTTAGACGTAGTTGAAAGACTAGGTTCCTCTTGGTAAAGGTGATACAACTGTCGCACACGCATCCCTGTCAGAGAACAGTCCTGCGGGGTATCTAAGTTTCCTAAAGGACCGACTGAAGCAAGGAACAAGACTCCGGACATGTCGGATAGCCTGAAGCGGCAACACCTAGATTAGCAGTATACTACAGGTAATTATAGATTTTCTATTTGCTACTTCTTTTTGAAGTAGCTAGGCTATGACCACTAGAAGCACTTGCTTGTATATAACTAACATCTTGAAACAACTTAAATCAGGTACATGTCCCCTCTTGCACCCACCGGGCTCTTATCGCCATCTATCTCCATAGCATTCGCTAAAGAAACTTAAATAGCCGTTCGCATAATTGCCGAGGAGCATGCGCGTAACCTCTTCCACAGACGCTGGGCGGGAGTAAGTATACACGGCTGTCCCAACCCCGCCGCCGATCTGAGTGGAAGTTGCGAAGGGTAGTAGTAGATCATACCTATCACAGCTCTGTGTTACGACACTACGGTACAGCTTCGGTAGTCGGGGAGGCGGGAATGACGGGGAAGTCACCGATGCATGTGAGTCGATTCATAACTTTCTAGTCATCAATGCCAAGCCCCGTTGTCTACCCAACATGTTTTCTCAATACCGTCTCAAGTAGCCGGACAACAGTATCAAACTCGGCAGTTCGTCCGTGACTTTCTCGTCGATCATCATCTTGGTCTAGACAACGTTCATATCGCCCAAATAAACTCAAAAAGACGCAAGATTGTACGAGAATCAAGCGAGCGATGTCACTCGTCGAGAAACCTGTTCGGCCGCCTATTTTTGATTGGCAGCCAGAAATAAAGGTTCCAGCGTGGAGGATTCGATCGTTTGGTGGGCACTGAGGATCCTTACATCTCCATATGGTTGTTTGCGTTCCATCGCTTCAAGTCTGTCCGGATCTGGATCCGAGTCGGCCGCTTTAGGTCTATCAGCAGTTTCAGGGGTTTGACGGCTTGTCAACGGCCTGAGGCGTGTCAGCGACTGGAAGCGTAGCGTTTGCACCCGTCCAAGGATACGTACGCAGTAAGCAAGCCGCAGGTGACATCAAACAATTGCTGCGGGGTTAGCTTTAAAAAGTTCCGATCGATGCTCGGAGATAATAGTTGCCAAAGGCAAACACTGGAACGAGCTCTGACTGGTTCTGCATGAGACATCCCAGTGAGACAGTGGGGGCTTAGAAAGTCTCCCTGTATGATACCTTTTCCCAGACGATCGTTCCGACGTATGCGTGCACAGTACGTCCGTTACGCCGCAAATCTCTACATCCTAGAACCTGGCAAATGTCAAAAAACGCCGATGCATGTCAACTGTCAAGTTGAACCTCTGTTTTCGGACAGCATACCGAAGATCCTGTTTCGAGTATGCTGCTCAAATACCCCGATATCAGTGCGTAGTACCAATGAGGGCAACGCGTAACGGTCATACGGCTTGGTACGAGAATCTGAGACTGCTGAACGCTTTGATGCGTCTGCATTTCATGGATCTGAGTCCGCGGGTATCGAAGAAGGCAGATCACTGACAAGGAGGTTTCTAAGCCCCCTTCATTCCCCGGGAGCTCGACCGTCATAGCAAAGACTGACTGAACTTAGAGTCTGCAATTAGGCTCTGGTGGATATAAACTTTGTCTGTGAAGTCCATTCTGTGTCTCGATACACGCACTTCGAGTCGTGGACTACTTCTGTTTGAGAGCTCACAATATTGAGACCATGGCACTATCAAACCTCCAACCACTGGCGTATGCCGTTGCTTATATTACATTCGTACTTGGTACTATTTCAATGTTTCTCCGCTTTTACTGTCGACGCTGTGTCCTGCACTTATGGGGATGGGACGATCATTTCACAGTGCTGATTCTTGTACGTGGTCTGCACGGTACTCCTGTGGATATCCAGACACATCTAACGGCAAGAACTACAGGTCTTCAGCATCGGTCAACAACTCATCCTGCACATGTTTCTATATTGGGGATGTGGTTTGTATGATAGTCCCTGCTTTGCTCACTGCATACTAATTGCTGACTGGAGACACAGACACATGACAACACTGACCATGCACCAGCAGCTTCAAATCATCAAAGCACGTGCTTTCAAATGCGATTAGCGGTGGACTTCTCTAATTCAAAATAGTGGCTGTTTATTGAACAAGTCGTTTACTACTCAGTACACTGGGTAATCAAATCGGCTTTCCTCTTATTCTACCTGCGCCTGTCAACCAGGAAGCCCTTTCGCATCGCCATTTACATGGGCGGCGTCATAAACGGTACTATCCTGATCATAAACACGTATTTCCGCCGTTTGCAGACACATAACTCACGTCTCGCTAACACAAAATCCAGGCTCATGGCATGTTTCCAATGTGTCCCATTCGATGAGATTCTCCACCCAGGCACGCACCCAAATGCCGTCTGTATCAATAGGCTTGCCATGCTTATTGTGCCGTCTGTTCTCGTAAGCCCTCCATTCCCTTTACCGACGCAAACCACGAAGTCTTAATAATAGTCACATAGAACATCCTTGCAGACTTCTATATCCTCATTCTACCCATCTACACAGTCTGGCACCTCCAAATGTCTATGGCCCGCAAGCTCAGAGTGATTGGCGTTGTGGCCTTTGGCAGCAGTTCCGTCATCATTGCTTGTTTCCGGCTTATACCTCTGTTCGAGCTGTTCCGCTCGCCAGATACATCTTGGGTACTCGGCAAGATGGTCATCATTGCCGCACTCGAGATTCAATGCGCCGTCATCGCAGTCAACCTGCCGAGTCTCAAGCCCCTGTGGACCCGGATGATGGGCGGAAGCTCGTCTGGTTCGGGCCCTGGAGGCGACAGCGATTCCAACAACAAAAAGTACAGACTCTCGTCGCGGGGCCATATTGTTACGTTTGGCTCCGAGGGCAGAGAGCTGCGTGCAGGCAAGTGGGCGAGGAAGAGCCATAGGGGAAGTGTCGCGCGGACGGACCAGGGGCTCACTGTTACCGAGTCTGAAGAGGAACTGTGCCGACAAGGTGGGATTTCACTGCGTATGTCGAACCAGATCTCAGTGGGAGACGCTGGTATTATTAAAATCCAAAAGGACATTCACATCCAGAGCTCAGAAGGGGAACTAGACAAGGTCATGACTGAGAACTACGTCTCAAGGGGTTGAGAGCTGACGGCTTGTTCGAGAAGAGATTAATAACATCACACCTATGTATGTTTCCTTTGTACTTTGAATGTGTTACAGCGAAAAAAATGAACAATGATATGCTTTGATAGCCTCTGCTTTAGTCGTACTACGATTTGTTCCTCACCCATATTCCGTAACGTGACATGCTATGATAATCTCGATCTGCACGGAACAAACACACGATTCTGCGCTGCTAAACTAAAACACCCTCATCATTCGCCATCGAGTATCTCCATCGCCCGATCACTTGTACCACCGTACGCGTCGTCTAAATATATCCTGGCTCCCTTCCCCCCCGTTTGCCCTCGCCCAAACCAATACCTGTCACACATAACCTGTATCACCCTCAATACGTTCCGTTTGACATTGATACCCTTGCTTTCGCCCGACTGTCTCGCAATCTACGCCCGACGTTCATCGTGAATAATCGTCGTGGCCATTGGAGCGATCAGGGCGTGGACAAAAGAATCACGAGCGCTGGAGAAGTTTCGTGACTGAGATCGGGGAACAACGGATGTTTCTCCTTGCTGAATTACTCGTGTGTAATTTTTGTTTTGTTTTTTGCCCTGAAGTTGCGAGTTCTGGTGGCCTATTGGGATTGCGAAACGAGATGCAAACACGGGTAGGAAGTTGCTTTTTGCGGGGAGGGATGGGCGAATGGAGTTTGTTTGGTAGCGGTGGTGTTGTTTGCGAACTAGGAGATTCTCTAGTAACTAGAAAGATGAGAAGTATACGAGTAGTTGATTTCTATCTTTCTGTTCGCGGATTCGACGATTTAGCACATCTTGTAGACGCAATCGCAATTCCCTTTTGTCATCTCCTTATTCTACAACCTATCCCGCGCTCTATCTCTACAGTTTCGAAACAGTTCACTCAGACACAAACCTCACAAGTCCAGTGCTTACACTTACCAAACTTCCCAAGACAACTACATACTCGACGACAATGAAAAACAATCTAAGCCCCCCCCCCCCTTTTTGGGAGGGAGTCTGCGGCATTACAAACAAACCCATCAATCACCTCTCCCGACACATCGGAAACGCAACCAATTTGCTTCTTTTGCCCCCACAACGCCATTGCCGTCTCAAGCCCACGAACGCTTGTTCCAAACCCACCACGGGGGAGGGCGATCGCACAGCAGCCAAACGGCTCCTTGCTTACCCATATGCCCCAACACATGAACAATTGCACATGTCAAAAACTCCAAAAGCAATCATGTAGAAGTAGTAGAAGAAGAAGAAGTGACGAAGGGGGGCTTTAATATGTTATCCTACCCAGCAGCCAGTTCAAAAAAGGTTTTTTCTCTTGATTTTACTGCGGGCCAGCCCACCTCTTCCACTCTTTTTTTTTTATAAAAACTTGTCTTCGCATTAGAGATGCGCTTTGTCGGCTGGGTTTGGCATCGACTCGTGGACTCTGCCGCTGCCGCTTCCGCCTTGCGATGATGATGATGGACATGGGTACTAGTATCCAGCCGCTTGCGTACGGGATTGCATATTCGACATTCTTTGTGGGCACATTATCGATTCTGCTACGGTTTTATTGTCGATATATTGTTTTGAGGACGTGGGGGTGGGATGATTATATTGCGGTTGCTATTCTGGTATGTTTTGTCTTTGATTGGAGAAGATGGTTGGGACGGAGAGCTAACGTGAAGGATGGTGATTAGGCTTTTAGTTTTGCACAGCAGGGCGTGCTGCAGATGTTTTTGTATTGGGGGTGTGGACTGTAAGATACTCAGAGGATGAAAGTCATATTGATAAGTTGTGCTAACTAAGAGTAGTCACATGGAAGCCCTAGACACGAACCATCATCTCGAGATCCTTAAGGTGAGAGTGAATGACTGCAAGGCAACTTCAAGGGATGTCTTCTGACCAAAAGAATCAGTGGCTATTCGTCGAAGAAGTCCTCTACTACTCTGTTCACTGGGTGATCAAATTAGCTTTTCTCGTATTTTACCTTCGTCTATCCCCTGATAGCGACACCTTTCGACACGCCGTCTATTTCGGAGTAGGATTAAACACCGTTGTATGGATTGCCAGTGTGTAAGTCACACCAACCCTTCTGAGCACCCGCAAAGTCTAACCTCAAATGTCAGCCTTGTAGCATGTTTCCAGTGCATGCCATTTGACGAAATCTTTCATCCAGGCATGCATTCCGATGCACAATGCATCAACAAAATGATTCTTCTCCTCGGCCCTTGCATTTTGGTAAGTCATTCCAGTCTTCATTTCTCCACCTTCTCCTCTTCATCTCTCTCCAACCCACCTAACACCCATCTCTCCAGAACATCCTCGTAGACATCTACATCCTAATCTTGCCCATCTCCACCATCTGGGCCCTGAAAAACATCCGCATGCGCCGCAAAATCGCCGTCCTCTGCGTCATCGGCTTCGGCGGCATCTCCGTCCTCATCGCCTGCAGCCGCATCGTCATCCTCCTCCGCCTATCCTCGCCCTCCCCCTCCCTCGACACCTCCTATATCCTCGGCACCATGATCGTCGTCAGCGCCCTAGAAATACAATCCGCCATCATCGCCGTCAACCTCCCCAGCCTCAAGGCCCTCTGGACAAAATACACCGGAGCCACCCCCCCAGCCCTCGTGCCCACCAGCCGCCAAAATCTCCACAACAAAGCATACAAAATGTCGAGTTTCAGCGGCACGGGTTCGTCTACCCCGTCGTCGCCGGATAGACCTCGCAATACTAAAAAACGCAACTCAGATACCGCGTCCTTCTGGGACGCAGACAACCCGCTCACGACCCTCGCCTCAGAGGAAGAGTCCGTCCTCGGCGACATGATGGCCGTCGTCATGCCCATCCAGTGGGTCCGCAGCGACATCCGCGCTATACGCGTGGGCAGGGGCTACATCGTACGCAGCATGATGAGTATGGAGCGGGTAGAAGATTGCTTCCCCGTCGGCCATTTCCTGAGAAATTACGGGCCGAGGAGGGATGCAGAGAGCGTGGTTGCGTCGCTGGTTTAAATATTTACATCTATATAAATGGAATGAATTCAAATATTAATATTATACTTATGTGATTAGAAGAATTGATATAGTAGTTAGGGAATTACAGAGTTAAGTCTAAAACTGTTATACACACTACTATAGATTAAATAATATTAGATAATCTTATAACTTAAGTTTTTTTATCTATTTACTATATAGCGTATTAGATTATTTATCTTAGAAAACACTAGTAGACTTTACTCTAACTTACTGAAATTAAATAGTAATAAAATAACTATAATATGTCTTATAGGTTAGCGAGGTACATAGGTTTATAAGCTACTTTAGCTAAAACTCTACTAAAACTACTACTCTACTCTAATAGTATAAGAATTAATTAGCTCTCTGGTAAATATTAGATATAGCTTACTCTTTAAGCTTTTAAATAAGATATAACTCTCTTCTTATTACGCGCTATAGCTATCTATAGTATTAATTAAATAATACTAAGTTAAAAATATAATAAATAACTAACGTACTTTATAGGTTTGTGTAACAGATAGGTTTATATAACACTTTTGCTAAGACCCTACTAAAACTACTACTCTACCCTAATATCGCAATAATAATAGTAAATAGAGCCCTCTAGTAAATATTAAATATAGCTTACTCGCTAAGCGCTTAAATAAGACGTATACATCTCTCTATAACGCACTATAGCTATCTTAAATATACCTCTATTAATACTAAGTTAAAAACGCGTAAAATAGACTTTATAAAGAGATTACTAGCCTAAGATAATAACTCTAACTAAGCTTAAAAAGAAAGTAGTTATTAAGTATATACTTAATTTTAAGTTATATAGATTTCTCTTTAAGCTTATAAATAGAGCTAGTATAGCTTATTCTTTATATACTAAGTATAATCTAGACTAAATTAGCTAAAACTAGCCTAGTATATATATTAAGTGCAATCTTAAGCTTAAAAATAGTTTAATTATAAGTATAACTATAAAAGAGCTCTTTATAAAAATTCTTAGACTATTTAAGACTAGTTTAGTCTAGTAGCTAATATTAAAGCTAAGTATAGAATTCAAAATAAAAGTATATATAAGTTTAATAGAATAGACTTAATAATAAGCTAGATTATCTCTAGAGCTATTATTATAGCTTTAAAGAGACGTAGATAGTCTAAGACTATCTAGCTAGTTAATAGAGAGTAAACTATAGTTATCTAGAATATTAACATAACTAAATAGATAATTTAATCTTATATAATTCTTAAGATATACTATTATCTTTCTAACTAGTATAGAGATAGTAATATACTCTAGAACTAGATTATTAAAGTCTCTAAGAATAGCTAGATAATAAATAAGCTTAGTCTTATAATATTTATTACTACTAAACTAGTAGCTCTACTAAACTAGTAGCTTTCTTACTCTACTCTACCTTCTTAAAAATAATACGTAATATCTTAATAACATAATATATATAAAGCCTATACTAAAGTAGATATATTCTTAGCTATTTAAGATATTAAATCTAGATCTATTAGAAGTAAAAAGCGCGCTACTATAGCTTATAACGTTTTATAGACTACGCTCTATAAGTAACGCGCTAAAGAACGTACTTAATATAATTATAAGCTAAATTATACGTACTTAATAAAGCTAAAAGAGAAGACTATTACTTAATATATAATAATTAAAGCTAAGTATAAACTACTCTATAAATAAAATAATATATAAGATATAGCTAATAAACTACTCTAAGAGTATAATAAATAGAAGATAAGTAAGAATTAAGTTAATAGATTAATCTAGCGTAATTCTAAGCTATGTACGCGCTAAAGCTATCTATTATTATAACTAGCCTTAGAATATAGAGAATACTTCGCCGTTACGTTTATTTAATAAGTAATTTATAAGAAGGTAGAAAGACTATAGAAAATAGAGATACTTATTTAGAACTAGTATATTACGTAATCTAAACGATGCTTAGTAATTAGTATATCTTAGTGCTACTAAGTAACTAAGTACTCTATATATTAACCTATAAGTTACTTAGTAATTAGTACTTTTTAGTAGTACTAAGTAACTAAGTATATTATAAAAAGCTCTAGTATATAGTAGTAGATATTAAGCCCTTATAGCTTAATATATTTAACTTAAGTTCTAAGTATAAGTATAATATATAGAGTTATTCTACTTATCTAAGTTACTATTCTATTGTATACTATCTCTCTATCTACGAAAACTAACTAATAAGAAGCTTAATACTAGAAGTCTTATATTACTTCTACTTAAGCTATACTCTTTACTTCTATATAATTAATAGTAAGCTCTCTATTAAGATCTAGTACTTATTAATATCTAGTTTAAGTTTATTTAAAATATTAAGATAAAGTATTATATTATAAATAAAAATATCTAAAACTTTAATAAGACTAGCTTTATTAGAAGTAAGATTTTATTATAGTTAGTTATTATAGACTTAAATAAACTAGAAAGAATATAAAATATCTAACTAAGTAATTATAAGTAGATTATACTAATATAGAGTATTAGCGAAATAAGTATATATATTCTAGTATTTCTAATCTTTACTAGTAAGATTCTAATATCTATCTAATTTACTAAAGAACTACTATATAACTTAGTAATCTAGATTAGTTCTACTAGTTAGATAAATAATAATATAATACTTTACTAGTTTTATTACTTTAACTTTTATATATAGTCTTTAAAGATATATAAACTACTTAGTAGCTATTTAAAATCTTTATAAAGAGATAAAGATAATTCGTCTCTATATACTTCTATACTTATTATACCTCTTATAGTCTCTTAATATAGATAACTTTTTATTATTAAAGTATATATATAGTAATACTATCTTGGTCTTAGTACGTAATTATATCTACTATATTAGTAAAGAAATCTTTTAACTAGTATTTAAAAAGGCCTATTATAAGGCTATTATACTATATAATATTTATAGAAAGTTTTAAAGTATTAGACTTTTACTCTATTATTATAATATTATTTTATTATAGCTTAATATTATACTATATATACTAACTCTACTAGCGTAAGAGACTACTATATAGAAGCTAAAAACGCCGCGTAACGCGCGCGAATTAGAGACGTAGACTATACTTATTTAAAACTATATATAAATCTAGTAAGAGTCTTCTATAATATCTCTTAAGAAGTAGATATAGTAGTTAAGTAANAGAGTCTAGTAGATTACTTATTATATAGTATTAATATAGAAGAATTAGCTCTAGCCTTTCTAAGTAGAGTTTCTAAGAGAAAAGAATTCTAAGATTAATTATAACTAGTAAGTAGTAACTACTATATAAGTACCTATTCTCT